GTAACAATGGTTTTTCCTAAGGTGTATACACTTCGAACCCCCTTAAGCTCATATTACACACATCATATACGAGTATGTATATTTGCGCTTAAAACTTCATACGATTTATCCGCTGAGCACTGTTGCATGTTTGATTCTGCTGACTCTGACTGCATCGCCGGTTCTCTCGAGTTACTATACTGGTTTGGTTCAGCATCGTTGCCAGATGGATGATACTTAGAAAAGGGAAAAGCTAGCGTTAGCGTTATCAAATGGGTAGGACTGTGGAGTATGGACTAATTCTATGGGCCTATTTGGCTGATCCATTTAATTTTTTGTCTGTAGCTAGTTCAGAGGTACTAACGTGTGCCGAACATAATCGTTTATGATAGTAACGTTGCGCGGGAAGTGCAGAGTCAACCTAGTTGACGCCAATTTTTTTTGCTGTTAAATTCATTTATTCGAAAACCTGAAACGAACGAGCTTTATTATCATTTACAGGTTAGGAGCAATTTATGATGCTGCAAAACTAGTTCAGAAATTTATATCTAATCAACATATATTATGTTACTAATACTTCATAAAACATCTTACTTTATTTTCAGCATGAGACTTTGATCTATATAAATCATATATTACGTAAATAAGGGAGACATATGTTACATACGTATCCTTGTTCAATCGATCGATATTTCAGCGAACCATCTAATGTTAAAAAGATGAAATCTGATATGGTTACTTTAGATGAGCATTTATTTTACATAATATACTGAGTGCCAAAAAAAGGGTGAACACCTACGTGTGCTTATTAGAATTCAAGAATTTTTTACATATCGATTTATCTTGCCATGAAGAAGAAGTGATAAAATGGTCAGGTTTTTTTGTTACGTTTTTGTGGTGGCTGCGTGTGTTGTTTGGTGATAAAGAAACATTCAGTTTCCGTACATTTACGGGGTCAGTTAAACGTTAAATTTTGTGTAGCTTATGGTGATTGCTCAGAATGCCTAAAGCGAAGAGCAAGGAAGGATGGTTGGTATGCGTACGGTATAACGCCGAATAAGGCAATTTGGCCTTTTTTCTTATCGCCCACATTGGGTGCTACCTCTCATAGCTGAACATCGGAGTAATCGTTTGCTTTGGTGTGGTGCTTGCGGTAGCATACCTCAACACCATCAAAAATCCGATTTTTCATCAAGACAGTGCCAGACCGCATATTGTCAGAGTATCGTTAGCCTTCATGGATCAACATCGCATCAACTGTTTACCTTGGCCACCACGATTGCCTGACCTATATGTAATTGAACATGTCTGGGACATGATAGGTCGTAGGCTATTGAATTTACAACACCCTCCACAGGAGTGCATAAGAATTCGTGGATCCTCAACACATTATTGAACCAGCTTCTGCAGTCAATTGACGAATCAAGCTGAAAATTTAGTCATTTTACTAGTAAGGAACATTAAACGTATATGCCAAAAATTATTAAAATCTGATAAACATACGTAGATGTTTACCTTTTCTTGTTACTCAGTATAGTTGACTAACTTAATCATGCGAAACTATAATAAGATACAGCATTGATATTCAAAGTTTCATGACGCAGATTGCATCAATGCAGCTTAATGAAATTTATTTCGTGAACGATGTGGATATTAAGGTCTCTATTTTTACTGGCCGTCTTATTTATCTATTCGATCTCTACGCTCCGCTACGTGCAGTACGTGTCATAAAACCTGCTGCGCCCTGGCTCACTCCTAACTTGAAAATGATTTTTCAACAAATTATGCCCTTGCATCGCTTAGAAGAGAGAAAAAAGCATATATGTCACGTTTCGGGAGTCTTAACTCTAGTCAAGCTTGAAAACACCTGAGCAGGATGAATGTGGTAGCCCAGAAACATGTTGCGATACCTCTCAGTCTCCTTGAGCCTACCATTTTAAATAATTATTTTCTTTCAATTTTCCAGACAGCTGCAGCTGATCCAAATTTGATTGATAGTGTCTCTAACTCTTATAGCGATAGACGCCATACACCGCGTGCACCTCTGTTTGCTTTTAAACTCCTTACTCGGCAATAAATCGTCAATATAGTCACTCACATTAAATCTACGGTATGTGGCTCTGATGGTCTAACTTTAAATATGGTTTGCTTATGTTTGCCTGATACCATAGACCATGTCACTCACATTATTAATGTCTGACTCGAAACAGGTTACTTTCCTGCCAGTTGGAAAAATGGTATTATTATTCCAATAGCCAGAACAATATTCGGATCTCAGGCCAATTACCTTATTATGCTTTCTATCAAAAATACTCGAAAGAGCTGTCTACTCACAACTAGTGGAGTTTTTCGAACAAAATCACTTATTTCCTCTACATCAGTCAGGTTTCAGAGCTGGTTACAGCACTACTCCGTCTTTATTACATCTTACTGGTTCCATCATTCACAATTTAGATAATCACATCAGCACCGTCTTGGTACTGTTAGATTTCTCGAAAGCCTTTGATATGGTCAATCACCAGATACTACTGAGTAAGTTATCTCGTTATGGAATGTCAGATATAGTTCTAAGGTTCTTTGAGTCATACTTGCTAAATCGTCAACAAACAGTGAAAACTGATCAGGGAATTTCTTCCTCTGAGCCAGTTTCCTACGGGAGTTCCACAGGGCTCAGTATTAGGTCCCTTACTATATCTGATTTATACGATCGATCTGCAAGACTGTTTAGTCCACTGTAGTATACAAACTTATGCAGATAATACTCAGTTAGTGTTTGGTTTCGATCCATCAAGGGTTGATGAAGTTTCTTTTAAAGTTAATTTAGATTTGGCTAACATCAGTGATTACTGTAACAATCACTGCTTGAAGATCAATCCTAATAAAACTACTGCAATGTTGTACTGTTCGAAGGACTCCTATCGTGAAATGAAGGAGAGGATTTGTGTTGTTTTGGATGAGACACTCATCCCTTTTGTGGATTACGCCAAGAATCTCGGTGTTACCCTTGACTTAAATATAAGATTCGATAGGCATGTCTCTTTCTTATCTAGAGTAACGTAAATGCATTTGAAACTCTTCTATTCTAATCAATTCATCCTGAATTTTAAAACCCGAAAAAAGCTCGCTGAAAGTCTTGTGATATCTGTCATTTCTTACTCTCTTGTTCTTTATTACCCATGTTTAGACTACGTCCACAAAAGGAAACTCCAGAAAATTCAGAATAACTGTTGTAGGTTTATTTTTGGATTGCGCAAGTTTAGTCGCGTCTCAGATAAAATCAAAGAATTCAACTGGTTGCGAATCGATAAGGTATTTTTATATATTTTGACTGTCTTCACGCATAAAGTTCTATTATCTAACAGACCATCAGCTTACCTCGCTAGCAAATCAGTTCACCGAGGTAGTTTTGTTACCAGAGCTCTTAGATTTAATGCTAATTTTAACATGTCTCCTGACAATACCTCGGTCTTTGAAAGAAGTTACACCTATAATGCTGTCAAGCATTACAATGCAGTCAACAGTGGCTATCAATCCAAACAGGTTGCTTCTTTTAAGAAATTAATGAAAAGTCAGCTGTTGGAGTCCATTTAGTTCAGTTTTCCTTGTGTTCATGTGCTTTTTTTTTGTTTGACTGTTTTCTACTATTTTTGTTTCAAATTTAAAACTCTCACAATACTATCTGCATTTGTCTCGTGCAGTCAATGTTGTCATTCTTATGAACTGTATTTTTTTTTGGTATGTTATTATTTTGTTTATGTGTTTAAGTATTTTTTTTCCTGTTGTGGGGTTGTGTGTAAGAGTAGCCGTTTGGCTACAATTCACTGCAGCTAATAATGGCATTATTATTATTATATTTCATATTTCATCTGTTGAGATACTTAAAACATTTCTGAAAATTATTAGCTTCAGACAAAAACGGAATGGAAAAAGTTTCTCATGTAAATGACAGAGGTACTAACCCCGGAACAACACGACTTCATTCAACCCTGTTAAAAAATATGTGAGTACGAATTCTTGAATAAATAAAATACTGCTTTCTATAAACTGTGACCAAGCGCAGGTACGACCTTGAATTGCTGAATTTACTACTGATGGATGTCTAGCTTTTACTGATCGAAACATATCTTCTATGCCGCTGCCTTTCTTAACAATCAGTTGTACCATCTTTTGGAAATTCTGAATAAAATTCTGTAAATCTAAGGACAAAAAATCCTGATGGCTAGAAGAGATGAGCTGGGAGGTGATATGAGTTACAAAATAATGAATAGTTCCACAAACCTTTGAGGATTATGACACGTCGGAGGCACTCCAAACGGCACGTTCTGCCTCACCATCCACATCCTCAGAGGCAGAATGCTGCAGGTACAGTTCCACGGATTACCAGCCAATTCTAGGCCATGCAAGCTCTGGAAGTTGACGAAAGACGTAGCTTCCGCCTCTACCAATTTGTTCTTGTCCAGCTTGAGCCATTCCAAAGTTCTGTCAAGCCCCGCGAATGCCCTGGGTTCTATCAGCGATATCCGACAGTCGGTCAACTCCAACCTTCGAAAAATAAGGTATTGTCATTCAAAATTATCTTAAAAAATAAGGTTGTATGTTACTGAATCACTACTTAGATGCAATAAATACATCTTCTATAGTGTAACTGTGGGGCAACAACTTTTCGAAAAAAGTTTTTAACCAAAAAATCAAGATATCAAAAAAGGAAGCTACGAGGGATGTCTCTTAAGTTTTGCATATGGGAATAAAACAACACGGTAGGTAGTTTTAAATGACTCTATTGTATGCTCCACGAAGATTAATATACATCTGCATGCGCTCGAACCAATTTTTGAAGCACTTATTCCACTCGTTTGCTGGCAGATCCAAAACGGCATTTTTGAATGCGTCAACTGCTTCTTCTGGTGACTGAAACCTTTGACCACGCAGTCTGTTTCTAATTTTCGGGAAAGTAAAGAAATCGTTAGGACTAAGATCGGGACTATATGGAGGATGGTCCAATAATTTCACGTTTTCATCCGTTAAACACTGCCTTGTTTTTTGGGCTGTGTGCGAGCTTGCATTGTCTTGGTTGAGGATGATTCTTCTTTCGGGGTTGATTTTTCGAAACTCGGTGATGACTTTTGGCAAACAAATGGTGGTATACCAATCCGCAGTAACAGTTCTTTGCTCATTAAGAGGAATTGTTGCAATATGACCCGCTTTTGACACAAATGTCGTGACCAGTAGATGTCTTATGGGGATTCGGTCTCAAAACTTCCAAAATCCGCCACCAGAGGCGCTGGCGTCGCGCGCCATTGACAGGTTGTTGGACGGAATCTGTAATCATGAGTTGGGGATTCCGCCGCTAGATGGCGCTGTCAAACCAAACGGAATCTGTGTGTCATTGGACACCTGTCATGCGTCATTGGGCATCTCACGCATAGATGGCGTTACACGTCATCTGTCATACGTCATTGGACACCTGTCATTGATGGGTTGGGCATCTCGCGCATAGATGGCGCCGATTTGTTTGGCGCTGTACAAACCAAACGGAATCTATTTGTCATTGGACAGCTGCCATTGATGGGTTGGGCATCTCGCGCATAGATGGCGCCGATGTCGCACCTGTCTGGTGTTGGCGTGGATTACGGGGGGCATTCAGAACGTGTATACAGGGGTGCATCGAAAAATAGCGGATCGATGGACCGACGGTATATCGTTAAATCGTATATAGCAAGGCGTGACCTAAATAGCGTGGTGGGCTCCTCTGGTCGGTCGGTCGGTCGGTCAGAATGTCTCATAACCTGTATACGATGTACTGTTATTATTATACAGGATGATACCGTTCAAAATGAAACTTTATGTAGTAGAATGATGGTGGGGGGGTAGGGAGTCGAAGGAACCGACTGTTTTTTTTTGTTTGACAACAGGCTGAATACGAAATAAACATAGATTTCTGAAAAATGTATTTTTTAATGATATACAGATACAAGTTTAGATAACAGAGTTTTTAGTTGATGTAACAAATCCTCGCTGGGGCATGGTACTCCAAATAGAGTCCAATGAAATGGTCCGGTCGCAACAACTTTTCTTGTAAATTCATTAAATTTATAGTAAGTTGCGTGACGGAAAAAGTAAATATGGCCATCAATCCATCGAAATGCGAGAGAAATATCTTCAGGTAATTCAGGAAATATGTCTCTTATCCGTCCTCTGTTCAACACATCAGTAAAATCGTTAGAAAATTCTATATATGACATATTATTATAAAAGGTATAGGACCGTCCTGCGTTTGATTGAAAAATAGCATTGATTCGAGCCCTATCGGGTATATCAATTGAAAAATTATCAAGAAATTTAATGGTAGGGAATGATGCTGAGAAATAGTTGTTTGGAGACACAATGGTAATCGAGTCACCGTTTGTTGATTGGAAAATATGTTGTAAAGTGTATTGACGTAATTCTGTAGGAACATAATCGACAAGAAGTTCAGGCTGAGATGGGATAATCATTTCGTTTAAGTCTAGTTTCCATATAAACATATCATGTGCAATATATAATCGGTAATTTGAAAACTCTGGAGCAATGGCTAAAAACATAAAATCTGGAATAATATCACACAAATTTTTGAGGATCGACTGCTTACGAGTTGTAGATCTTATAGTTGTTGTTGTTTTTGGTATTGCTGATCCGGTGGTAGACTTTGGGATTGAATCATATTTGTTTTTTCTTCCATATAGATATTGTACTGCATTTATATCATCAACATCTAGACCACGAATCTCATGCTGATAGAAGGCAAACATAATAGCATTCGGAGAAGCACTATGTGCTATGCCGAGGGCATGTCCAATTTCATGAACCAACACCATAAGAAAACTAGTTTGATTTTTGGGTATATTAGGATTATTTCCAAAATACCAGCGTTCATTTATATCTAAATGGATTTCTCTACAGGTGCCGCTAGAGTCAGGAAAGTATGCATGTCCTAAAACGCCGCCAGCATCATCTAATGTCAATGGACATTCATCATTACCCATACAGTTTGCGCTAAAATAATGAGTCTTGCTAACCATGGTTATAGTAATATCAGGAGGATATAGAGTGGGATTGGTAACCATTGTAAATGTTAAGTTTGAAACATTTTGCCACATCTGAAAAGCCATTTCTGCATCTTTTTGGGCCGCAGGTGTGTTTCGAGGGAAATACCATTTCAGGTCATGTTTCCGAAATGGAAAACTTGCTCTAAATTCAGCATCACTGTATTGACAACGCGGACGATTCATAAATTCAATTGTTGCATTATTCAACAATCCATCCACTGGTAAATTATACTTTTCTTGCAAGTTAGTTAGCAAAGTAGAGAGATCTGTTGTATTATCGATGATATGTTCATATTGAGTTAGGTATACTATAGCGTCTTTTTCGGAGAAATCGTTGCAAAGCACGTATGTGAAAGTTGAAATAAAAAATAATACGTCTACCCACATCAACATCTTGATAGAGAATGATGTCAAAAATCTCAGATAGCAAATATAAATTCGTTTACCCCCCAATCAAAATCTTGACTGAAAAAAAATTAGGCAGCAAATATACAATAATCATACACGAATTTCTATATTTCTAAAATTCTACTCTCATGTGCAACTTGTAATTGGAATTTCCGCCGGACAAACGATACATTCATGTATTACTAAGAAATTATATAAAAAATACTGCAACCGCAATGAATGTTGTTTTCTCGATAAAAATGGTACTGAGAATATGATGCATATAATATGCATATTTACGATACAATTATCTCATGCACGCGTGTGTCATCTCAACTACGTACTTATATTGAGCGAGCGCATGCAGTTTTCTCGATAAAAATGGTACTGAGAATATGATGCATATAATATGCATATTTACGATACAATTATCTCATGCACGCGTGTGTCATCTCTACTACGTACTTATATTGAGCGAGCGCATGCAATAGTCATCATTGTTTCACACTTAACGCACAACGCTGCAAGCTGCAACAACGACCGCAGTACAATTAGTGCTTCGAGAGAGACGAGAGAGCGAAAATTTTAAAAAAAGTAAGTGCTATTTTATTTAATATTTTTCTTTTTTATGTCTCTAAATGCAACTGTTTTTTTTTTCGTGTTATGCTTCAAAATAGTTAGACGACTCAATTTTTTTTATAGATGGATTTATCAAAAATTAATGCTGCGTCTTCGATTGTAGACCGCAAACCTATCAGAAAATTAAAGGACCTACCAGTCGGGATACCCTTTGCAATCCAAGCAGCTAAAGTGGTCAAGTCGAAATTTGGGGAAGCCGTGCTACTAGATTTAGGACCGGAAGTGCTATTTCTACCACAGCGGGTGACGGAAACGTACCAGCCGGTCATCGACGAACTTTTTCACGGAAAATACTCGATCATCTTCCAAGGGGAAGTGGACGTAGGGAAAAGCCGACCGCTAGCATCATTCAAAATAGTGGAAAATTAACAAAGCAGAGAACAGGAGGAGGACAGGGTGAGCATTTTTATATATTTTTGAGTAATGTGTTTGCTTGAAAAAAAAAATGTCGTCTTTTCAAATGTCTTCAAATAAGGTTAAAAAGATCATCAAACAAACAGACGGTGTTCTACTATCAATTGTTAGTCTACGGAAAATTTTATTTGATAATTTTACAATCAGAGACGCGGAAGTGTGGCTGAAACGAATAGAAAAACAAATTAGATTATGTAAACGGGTAATTCGTAGTAGAAGGCAAAATAAATTATCTGTAGGGACCTGTAGAAAAGTAGAAACAAATTTGGGGCATTTTAAACATTTTAGAAAGTTGATTTTAACTAGACATATTGGGGCAGGACTTCACTTAACATTGGGTCAGAGGGTTAGATGGGAAAATGTAGAATCGAGCTTTCAAAGTAGAATAAAAAGCTAATAATATATAATAATTTGCGTCATAAGGACTTGAATCAATTTTTAGCAGATTGTGTAGTTGTTTTTAAAAGGAAAATTAGGAATATTTTGAACACCCATTGTGCGCTCAAAGTAAATACAACATTTTGCGGGGAGTTTATTAGGAAATCGGGGGATAATGAAATTTTGGGAATTAAATATATTAATACTAAAAATCATATTATTGATACATCAACTCAAATAGACGAGTGGTTTAAGATATATGTTAAAGATACACTTTTAAACGAATTATCGGAATTTGCTGAAAAAGATTCGGGATTTGCGTTAAATAAAATTATTTCCTTAGTTGTTAATATCAGTAAATATCAATTGGGAAACGGTTCATCTTATATTAGACTACCAGAACCGATTATAAGGAAAAATGCTTGTATAAACATTAAAAATATAGATCAAAATTGCTTTTACTGGGCCATTGTAAGCGCTCTTCGGACTCCTAGCAATAAAAGACATGCAGAACTAACCTCCTCATATCCACACTTTACTGACGTTTTACAAACAGAAAATTTAGATAGTCCTATGCTGCTAACAAAAATTTCAAAATTTGAAAAGATGAATAACATTTCAGTCAATGTTTACGCTTTAGAATTGATCGAAACAGAAAAAAAATCATTTTACATAGTAGTACCAGCAAGATTAACGGAAAATAAACGGGATACGCATGTTAATTTACTTTTAGCTCAAAATAAATATTATCCGCGTTTAAATGATTATGATGCTCCTCCACCAGCGCCAGCAAATGAAGATAATGATTCAATCGATGAAATTAAATATCACTATTGTTGGATTAAAAATCTTTCGCGTCTTATTAGTAGCCAGTTAAATAAACATCGTGAGAAAAAATTTATTTGCGATAGATGTCTGAACTATTTCCATCAGCAAAATAAATTAGTTGAACATGAAAAACTGTGTTCTAAATTTAATAAATATAAAATTAACCTTCCTAAAGAGAGCTGCGTTGAATTTAAAAACTTTACATACCAACAAAATACTCCTTTTGTTGTTTATGCAGATTTTGAATGTCAATTAGAAAATCATAAAGAAAGTAGCGTCGTAAATTTAACTAAAACCATAAAATATCAAAAACACGTTCCGTATAGTGCTGGTTTCTATGTAAAATGCAGCTATGATGATAGCCTTTCTTATTTCGAGAGCTATCGAGGTGCAGATTGTATGGATTGGTTTGCAAATCGTATGGCTGGTGTTGCGCAATTTGTAAACTCAAAAATAAAAACAAGCGTACC